AAAAAAAAAAAAAAAGATTAAATGATTATCCATTGGCAAGAAATATGTGACCACAAATTACGCACATTTTTTTCCAGGCATTCATTGAATGTGCTAAACAACATCACGCATGCATGCGTTATCGAATATATATGATTAGTCAATGAGTCAAAATTATAGTGAATTCAATTCAATCTGAGGAATTGAAATAAGCAGCTCAGCCCAATCAAATGATGCAAAATAAAGTCTTATCACCAATTTAATTCTATCCAAATTATTTTTTATTTCAGCAAAATTATCCTTCACCTATAATAAATAATAATAAGTACTACACTTCTTATCTTAGAAAAAGAGATTATTATTTATTTATTTATTATTCTTTTGATTAATTGTTAATAGGTTAATTAGGTTAGATGAGAAAGAATATTGATGATATTTTTTTTGGTAACCAGCCACGATATTCGGAGTTATGCCCCAATTAATCTGTTAGTCGACCTGGGTCGCACACCTGGCAGTGGTGGGTGAGTCTCCCAATAAAGGTTTTCTGTATCCACAAGAACTCGAACTCAAAATTTTACTTAAGCGACATCAAACTGTTTAATACTTGACCTAACCACTGTTTGTATATTGATGACATGGTTTTCTGTATCCACAAGAACTCGAACTCAAAATTTTACCTAACCACTGTTTGTATATTGATGACATGGTTTTCTGTATCCACAAGAACTCGAACTCAAAATTTTACTTAAGCGACATCAAACTGCTTAATACTTGACCTAACCACTGCTTGTATATTGATGACATGGTTTTCTGTATCCACAAGAACTCGAACTCAAAATTTTACTTAAGCGACATCAAACTGCTTAATACTTGACCTAACCACTGTTTGTATATTGATGACATGGTTTTCTGTATCCACAAGAACTCAAACTCAAAATTTTAATTAAGCGACATCAAACTGCTTAATACTTGACCCAACCACTGTTTGTATATTGATGACATCTTGATAGCTATTGTAATAAGCCTAACATCGCACGGTCCTAATAGAACCGACTCTGATACCATGTAAGAAACTGGGAGAAAAACGGGTGCGGACCCACTAACATGAAGTGCACCATGAGAGAGAAAAACTTATATGAAGCACAAATGAGGTTCCATCCCAAAACCAATTGGTGGAAGGAGGAGTAGCCCATTAGACTTATAAGGTGGGCCTATTTTCCATATATGAACGATGTGGGACAACTCACAAGTGATATTCTAACACAAATGATGCAAAATAAGTCTAGCAGCAGATTAATAATATCCTAAATCAATCATATATTTCGTTTATTATTTTTATTTCAGCAAAAAATCTCCTTACTCCATAACAAATAAAACTTCTTATCTCAGTAAAAAAAAATATTCTTATTTATTTTTTATCTTTTGATAAATTGTTACTAGGTTTAGGTTGGTTGAGAAAGATTGGTGACAATTTGTTAGCTAACACGCACTGCATATTGTAAGCCTAACGTCATTCGCGTTATGTCATTGACTACATCATATGTTGAAAAATATCTAGTCCCTTCTTTTTTTTTATTTTTTATTTTTAACTTACCTAGACGGAGTCGATGGGTGATAAAGAAGGCCCATGGCTTAGGTTGTACATTATCCAACTTATAATTTTAAATATTAAATACACAAACATATAACATATAAAATTTAATTTGCAGTTGTAAATGTGTAAACGATAGGATAGTAGTGTCAATTAAAAATTAGCCAAAAATAACCAAAAATTCTCCCAAAAGAGTTCTTAAAATCATTTTTAATACATTTTCACTCTCTTGTGAACCTTGTGCAGGTTCTCTGTATTTGGGCTAGTCGGCCTGTACATATTGTTTTGGTTGAATAAAATCCTCTGCAGTTATTTTTTTTAAAATGATAAGTCTTTTTTTTTTTT